GTACGTCCCCATCGAAATCCCGAACATTGAACTACCACCAGCTCCACCCGCACCAACCAACGCACTGGTTGAAGTCCCTATGGCAACATTCACTCAAGCAGACATCGATCAGCGCATCGCTGTCGCCCTCGCAGCATACCAATCCCAACAGTCAACTGCCAACCGACCCCTTCGCCTTGACATCCCCGCTCCCGAACCCTTCAGCGGAAAAGCAGAGGACCTCAGACACTTCATCCAATGCATCCTCTCCTACTTCGTTGCCACCAACAACACCTGACTCAGCGATGAAGCAAAGATTGCCTTCACTGTAGTGCTGATGAGGAAGGATCTGGGGAAAACATGGGCGGACGCGTATTACGAGAAGTTGGCAGGGGGAGTCCAGGTCTATTCCACTTGGGCAAACTTCGTCGCCGCTCTAGAAGAGGTGTTCCCTGAGCACGGAACGCGAATCAAGGCACATCAAATCCTGATGAAACTGCCTGAACGACAGAAGGATAGGAAGACAGTGCTCTCCCTCAGTAACTATGTCACCCGCTTCGAGCAGCTAGCATCAAAGGCTCAGCTCAAGGACGCTGAGGTCAATGGCACCAACCGCGTCGAGAACGACTACCACACTCTCCATGCCAATTTCGTCAAAGGACTCCCAAAGGAGCTGTATTTTGCGCTCGCAACAAGGGTCGCTAGGGATTGACCTAACACCATGAAGGCCTGGTACGACGAAGTATGAAACACCGATGCAGCCAAGCAGGGGGCTCTCATTGTCACAGACACCAGGGACTATGGTGAACCAATGGATATCGATACCGCTGCCGTCACATCAACTTTCACCTCCACGTCGGGAGGAAGGAAGTGGGAACTAGGGGCTGTTCTCAACAAGGCCGATCAGAAGCTCCACAGGGACGGAAACCTGTGCTTCTACTGCCACATCAAGGGCCACAGCGCCAAGGACTGCCGCAAGAAAGCGGCTGCACGACAAGGGGGTGGGAGGCTGAACCAGGGAGGATCTGGGAAGGATGACTTCTGTGCCAGAATCAAGGCACTTTCTGCTGACGAGAAGCGGGAGCTGTACGAAGAACTCATGATGGAGGATTTTTGAAGGGGCAGGGTGAGCTGACGCAACCACTGCCTGTATCTGTTTCACTGTCCCGTGTAATTCTAGTAGTCCGAAATGAATGCGCTCTGCACATTCCGATTACTGTGGGACGAAAAGACGTCGAGGTGCGCGCTTTCATCGATAGCGGCGCAACAGGAATCTTCATCAGCCCGAGATTCGTCCGAGAACATTGACTTCGGACAGAACCTCTTCCCCGACCCATCCCCGTCTTCAACGTGGACGGAACTCCGAACAAAGAAGCACTTATCACACAAAGAGCCCTCTTATCTTACAAGATAAGCAGAGAACCCCGATTTGTCAAAGCCTACGTCGCCAGCATCGGCAAGAAAGACATCATCTTCAGCCATACCTGGCTCAAACTCGAAAACCCCAAGATAGACTGGAAAACGGGACGAGTTGAGCTAAACCACCGATGGACGAAAGACGAGACCAGGGCCTGGAAGATGGACCTGTACCAAAGGCAAGTGGCTCAGCTAGAACTAAAGAAGGCCGTAGCTACCCCACTCCCAGAACCAATGGAGGACAAATTCATCATCATCTCCACCTCGGAGCACACAACCCTTCCCAAACGAAAAACTAGCGGTGCAGCAGGATACGACATTTCTGCTGTGCATCAACTTACCATCCCTGCCCGATGACGAGGCCTGGTTGGCACCGATCTTATCATGGCTATCCCCAAAGGACACTACGGAAGAATTGCACCTCTGTCCGGTCCAGCACTAAAGGAAATTGATGTCGCTGCAGGAGTAATCGACTCCGATTACTGAGGCAAGGTCTCAGTCCTGCTGGTCAACAACTCCAAGCTCCCGCTCACCGTCAAAGCCAGCGACCGAGTTGCTCAGCTCATCCTTGATATCACAAAACCTACAAACCCACCTTATAGCTTGATAGTAGAGGGGGGGAGATGATAGCACTTAAGTATGGGGAGGTAATGCTGTTAAGCGCAACAATGACGTGAATAGAACTGGGGGACAGGGTGCCCCAGGATGCTGTCTTATATACATGAGGGAAAACCCCCCAGGGACCGGTAATGGACCCCTGGTACCTAGCTTGGTAAGAATTACTAAGTATCATGTGTCCTATGATGTAATCTATGATGTCATAGTCTGGCCCTGCCCTGCCCTGGGCCTAGGGTCCAGAAATGACCGGCCTATGGCCTAGTGCCTGAGCCTAGCTCCTATCTATGATGTCAGAATGATGTCATGGTCCAGACAGAGTCTGGTTTCTATCTAGAAAAGGTCCGGCATTAGAGTCTAGCCTGATGTGTCCAGAACAAGATCATGT